ATGATGATGTGTGGCCTAAATGATGTAATCATGAAAAGTGTTCACAATTTTCTGATATGTAATATGCTTTCAAAAAAAGGACATTTATGAAAACTGCTGTTCCTAATTGGGAGCCCTAGATCACAAGAGTGAAATAAGCACAGATATAAGTTCAAATACTGACTCAACAATTTATTGGGGGCATGACCTTTGACTTTATTTAACCACCCTCAGACTATTAGGCTATGAGTCAAATGGGGCTGGTACTACCTACCTTACAGCACTGAATTGTTATGAAGATCAACTCAGATATACGGAATCGAACAATAATCACAGTGCTTAGCACACAGCAGGCAAATACTTAATGAATGTTAGCTTCCTTACCTTTTAGATCCTGTCACACTATGATCATTGATACAGGATTACACATCAAATTTAATGTGTATCACTACATTTTTAAAAACTGGAAGTTAGCTCTGGTGATACATCGAATTATAGTAACAAATGGAAGCCTTTCACCAGCTTGACAGCTAACCCCTGCAACTAAACTTATCATACAGTGAATAAATTGACTGTAGTCAAGTAAATAAAAAAAGATATACACATATTTATGCTTAATACATGAAAGGTGACAGGTAAAAAGCACTTGAAAAAAGTTTTAGGAGTTTTAAGAGTCTATTTTTAATTTTAGGATTCTAGTTGACTTGGTATGAGCAGTTAGGTCAATACAATACTCTATATACTAACAGATTGTATGATAATTCATACTGTTCAACACATTTCTGCCTTGACTTTACTTGAAGGCAAAAATGAAAAAGAACTTTTTGGAAAGGGAACAAAAACGACTATGAATTCCAAGATGTCTTATTGTAAAGAATGACATTCGGGGCGCCTGGGTGGCGCAGTCGGTTAAGCATCCGACTTCAGCCAGGTCACGATCTCGCGGTCCGTGAGTTCGAGCCCCGCATCAGGCTCTGGGCTGATGGCTCGGAGCCTGGAGTCTGTTTCCGATTCTGTGTCTCCCTCTCTCTCTGCCCCTCCCCCGTTCATGCTCTGTCTCTCTCTGTCCCAAAAATAAATAAAAAACGTTGAAAAAAAAAAAATTAAAAAAAAAAAAAAAAAAAAGAATGACATTCATTCAAATGTAAGGTATAGTATAGAGCAACTTTTTAATGGCCAGTAAAGATCCATTTACTAATGAAATTTCTTTCTCTGATTTCTTTTGACTTCACTCATTTTGGCTTTTAGACATAGTTAACTGGCACAGTTTTAAGTCAGCAGACATGTATTTTACATGGCCACTCACCGGTGAGACATGCATCACATTTTTCTAATGCGTTTTGCTTTCGTTCTGATTCCTCAAATGATGTAGCTGGCTCAAAACTTTTGGTTTCACTACCCACAGTATGCATATCCTGTTGATGGAGAAGAATTTTAAATGTAAGAAGTAAAACACACCTTAAAACAATTCAAAGATTTTTTAACTTACTAATACAAACATTACAAATTTCCAACACAATTCCATAAAGGTCAAAACTCACTTCCTTTGAAGAGAAAAACAGTGACTTCATAGAATGTTCTGGGTCTCTTTCTTCTGGTGACAATAGAGGCTTTGGAAGACAGCCTTGATCAACAGGAGATGCAACACCACCTATACTACACACAACTACATCTTGTGGCTGCAGGGACCCATCGAAGATCTTCTGTGAGTAAGTAATGAGGAACTCTACCAACCGTGCTTGATTTGAGTATTCAGCAAGAGAGGAGATGGTGACAGGTGCTGTTGTGGGCCTTGGCCTAATGAGACTTGGGCCAAATATCACCCCCAAATTTTTGGAGTTCATTTTGTTTTCTTCTGCATGATCCACGACTCTGTGAAATAGAACACAGAAAATTGTATAAGATTCGCCTATTAGATTTCCTTGATGGTAGTTTACTATGGGTTGGAAAGGGTGGAGGAAAAATGGGTGGTACAAGTCTAGAAAAAGGATATATTTATTTGATTAGATATTGACCACACAGAAAATTGGGTTTCACAGTATTGGATCAAATTTAATTAAGTAGAAAGAACTACTAAAGTTTTACCAGCAGAAAAGCAGAAGCAAAAAAACCCTAAGAGCTGCTCCCATCTTAGTATATACCACATCCTCCAGGTGTTTATGCTGGAAAGTTAAACATTGTCGATTTCTCTCTCACTGCCACAGCTAGTCTTCTGATTCTGCCTCCTAAAGATCTCTCTGCTCTACTGCCTTGTTTCAAACTCTCCACACCTTTCACTTCTAGACTACCCAAGAAGTTCTAAACTGCAGTAGAGGACCCCCTCCAACTCATTCTCCATATGGCTGCCAGAAAGACCTAACGAGCAAATCCGAACATGTTAAATTCCTGGATCAAAATTCTTCAGTAGGTACAGAAGGAAGACAGTCAACTCATCTGGCAGGTATGTATGACTTTATCAGGCCTCTACCTAACTCACTTCAAGCTACTGCTTGCTTTGTCCTAGCCTAACTGAATTACCTATACTTCCCAAATGCAAACTTATCTCGTGTCTCTGTGTCTGTTACCTCCTGCCCGGAATGCCTTTTCAGATTCTTGGTCACCAAACCACCACCCAGTTCTTCACATCTGGCTAAGGGCTACCTTCTCTGATTCACGACCTTCCAATCCCCCATGTTCCTTTGCATGCTGTGCACGGCTCCCTTAGAACAAGAACCGTGCTGCAACTGCACTTGTCTGCAGGTCTGCCCCGAGGCTGACAAGCACAACAGGTGACAGAAACCTTACATTCTCATCCTTATTTTCCCAGCAAGAGCCTGGCACATAGGAGGCAACTGAAGGAAGGATGTTAGCTGTAAGAACATATATTCAATGTCTCCCTTTCCCTAACACATATTAGAAAGAAAATGTTCCTTTTAAAAACATCACAACAATATGAATGCACTTAATACTACTGAACCATACACTTAAAAGTGGTTAAGACGGTCAATTTATGTGTATTTTGCTACAATTTTTAAAAAACCAAAAAAAGCAAAACGAAAACACTGATTTCCACCCACTAATGAATGCTTGTCTTATACAAAATTCTTACCGCTTAAGATGAACTATGAGGTAATGAAGACTGTTAAAATTTGACACTGGCAGTTGTCTTAGGAGGTCCTTGCTTTTTATAAGAATTCGGTTTATTTCTATACATATACTCGGCCATTTTTTGTCCTCGGAGTTATCCTTTTTTGACTCCTGTTCTTCATTTACATGTTGGATCTCTTTTGCAAGGTCTATAAATTCTTTGTACAATCTGAATAAAATGAATGGTTCTGGGAGCTAAAGAAATAAGATTACATTAGGAATATCAATCTGTCCATTTTTCCCCCGTTAATAATTTACTGACTAGCTACTGAGTGATTTAGCATGTCCATTACGATTCACAAGATTTAAGGTTAATCCTCATTATAAATGTACACGTTTGTTACCGATGCGATCTATAAGGTGAATCTGACATCGCCAAAAATTATATCTATATTAAATATGAGTTAATTGATAATCAGTAAAACTTTTTTTAAAACCTAAAGCTGCATGATGGGAATTTAAAACTCTGCTGTACCCTATACCAATTACATTCATGACTGCCCCAAAGTTAGCAAGATCTAGAGCTGTTTTATTAAAACCATATTAAAAGTCATATTAATAACATTAACTAGAAAAAGTTTATATTCTGAATTTTATTGGTATGGGGTAGACAGAGAACAAAATAATACAGGGTCCTTGTGTTTTACTTTGGCCAGACTGAAGACCAGCATAAGACAATATGGCTTACAAGAAAGACACTGTCAACATTTTATCTAATTTTTAAGCACAACTTGAATTGCCCTAAGTGGGTTGAAGAAAAGTTCCTCTCTCAAACTATCAAGGGGCATGATCTCCCTACTGGCATAACTGATTCCAACGTTTACACTGCTCAGCAATGGAAACAGCATATCTCTGGCTAGCTGGTGTCCTACACTATCTGTGGTGAGGTTGGCACCCACCTCTCCGATCTCCCCTGCTGGAGGAGAAGCCTTGACATTAATTTTTACCCCTACTACTCTGGGATCTAAAGGAGGTCACTTAGCCTCTTGAGGTTTCAAATTTCCCATATATAAGTAAAATGAAGACTGCTTTCTAATACTGTAAGAATTGAATAGTTTCCCCACACTAAAGTGTTGGTCCCACAGTATTCCTGAGACGGAATAGTACTGGACTCCGTTTATTTCCTCTCCCTGACTGGCTAGGAGAGATAAAGGATGATTCATTGTGAGATTAAAAGTCATTCAGAGGTACTCTGTCTCCATTTCTCAGCTGAATTCTGCAAATATGAACATCCTGTAAAAAGAAATATAGTTTTGTGGGCTAACATGACGGATCCAACATTTGTACCTAGTTTCTTTCCCTCTGCAACCCCACTAAAACACAGTTAAGCCCACAAGACTAGCAGAAAAGGAATGTAGATAAAAGCAACATTTCACCACTGAAGAGCAGATAAATAAGTAATGACAGCAGTCCTGAGAAAGGTGAAATGAGAAACAACACAATTTATAGGAGACTCAGGAACTGTCAGCACTAGGTACTCTGATCCTGGAGAACGGTGAACTATTTAAGAAGTATTAGATATCCAGATCCTTGTCTCAGCAACATGCTTCTGACCAACCTCTTCCCCAGAAGTGTGAGAATTTTTTTTCTCTGGGCAGTGTAGAAGAGAGGGCTTCTGGATGGGCAAAGTCAAGCACAAACAACAGGTGGTCAACTTCTAAAAATAGGGATTTAGTGATTGTATGCATGCTGAGGCAGAGACCATGGGGTCTTCTTGCCCAAATTGGCTCACAGAGTTCTGGCACCACACCTATAGGCAGGGAAAGACCCTTCTGTGGGGTATGAAGCCAGCCTGAGAGCACAGACCTAGAGATACAGACATCAGGTGTTTCCCAAATAGCCCTTCTAGATGACACTAAAGCTTAGAATCTTTAAAGCCTTCACGTATTCAAAAACTTCCAAAGAGACTTCAATTTCCAATTCTTCCATTTCAAGTAGACAACCACAGAAGAAAGAATCAAAATAAGTTTCAAAAAAACCAAATGAAGGTCTAGAACTGGCAATATTGCAATCACTAGCCACACAGGGCTACTGAGCACTGGAAATGTGGTTAAACGACATGTACTCTACATGAAAAATACACACCAGAATTCAAAGACTCAGTAACCTTTCCTTCTAATAATTTAAAAATACTGATTAGATGTTCAGATGATATTTCCGTATGTTAAGTATGAAAATTAACTTCACCTTTTTATGTGGCTCCTAGAAATTTTACTATTATATATAGGGCTCACATTATATTCCTACTGAATAGTGCTGAAGGCTAAGCAAAGAATCCTTTTTAGAAAAAAGCTGTGAATATCTCAGATAAATAAAATATTACATTCATTAAAAAAGGATGCTGTAAAAGGAACAGAGAGCCAAGTTCTTGGAAATTAAACCATGATCTCAGAAATGAAATAGATCAAAGTAGATGTGGAAAATAAAACTGAGGAAATCTTTTTAAAAAGTGTTAAAACAAAAACAAAACAGAGAGAAGATGAGGGAACTAGAGAACCAGTATAAGGTGTCAGGTATACACATTTAAGTTCCAGAAAGAAAATACAGAGAAAACAGAGAGGAGGAAATGAGCAACAAAATTAGTCCCAAGAACAAAAGGCCAAGGAGGACAGAGCTTGTGGGGTTCCTGGAAGGACAGAGGAGAAGACACATGCATCAAGGCATCAAGGTTGTGAAATTTTAAAACAATGGGGAGAAAAGAAGATTTGACAAGCTTTCAAAGAGAAAACAACAGCCCTCATACAAAAAATCAGAAATGAGAAAGATTTCAGGCTTCAAGGAGAATAAAATATGTCTCAAAAAAAAAAGTCTTCAAAATTGTGAAGGAAAAGAATTTCTAGAGTAAGATACTATAACCTTCCACACTATCCATACTCTTTCATCCCATTTAAGAAAGCAGAATAAAGACATTTACAGATAAATAAGATTTCAAGAATCTACTCTTATTCCACCTTGCTCAAGGATGGCATGACCAAAACAGGAACATAAACCATGAATAGGAAGACAAGACACAGAAGACAGGTGTCCCCCTCAGAGGGGAGAAGGTGAAGGGAGATCCTAGGATGACAGATATTCACAATAATTAAAAAGGATCTAGATGCAGAACAGAACTCCAGAGATGGACATGGCCAAGACCATCACTGCTCTGCTCTCTGTGACTCCCTCTTCATTTTCACCCAAGGACAGAATGCAGCCATACTTGACCCGTATCTTTTTTGCATTTGGCTCATCATAACAATGTGCTGATTGTTTCTACAACTGCTCCATGAACTGCTGCCTGAAGCCACTAAGGCCAATTATTACTTTACCCCACAGGAGTGTTTTCTTTGGATCTACTCCTAAAAGCCCCAGATTCAACAGTGAGCATAAAAAGAAAAAATACAGAGCAGCCCACCCCTGACCATATTCCTGCTAAATGTCCAGTACTCAGCTTATTTGAAAGCCCTGCAGATGCCCCAGATACACTGAACTTCATGTTCCCAGGATGCACTCATGATCTTGCCCACTTGGCCTCCCACATTAGCTATGTGAGAATATCAATGAAGGTAAAGTTGGACTATGGCCTTTGCTTACATAGGTAGATTTATGCTTTCCTCTCAGTTACCTAAACTCATTACCTCTCAGTCCTCAATGACACATTAACAACACACTGTGTAGGAACATACAACAGGTATTAAAACTATTAAGAAAAGAGAAGGAGGTATTAACAAGGTTAGAAAAGAGCCCAGGGGCCGAGTTGAGCACCACAACTGGAGAAGGGCACACAGGAGCCTTCTACAGGGTGATGTTCTATTTCCTTAAGTGAGGTGATGGGAAATGAATGTTTTGATTATTATTGGTCTTTAAACTATATATGTATTTTATATGCTCTTTGATCTGTACAATTAGAGACACATCAATATAGTCTATGTCAATGAAAATATATGTGTAGTAAATGTTATCAGCAAAACACAAGTCATATTTTTTCTGTTTAATGGTACTTTTCAAGGATGAAAACGTTACCTGTCGAAGGTATAATTTCAAGACGTCACAGATGTCATGTGAACTAAATTCTGAAATGTCTACCAAGTGCATTCCATTTTCCAAGGCTTGACACAGTTTTTCAGTTTTTATTTTGTTTCCACATACACGATAAATTCCCTTAAGAAAATGGAAAAATTGGGCAAAATTCTCCTTTAGTATCAATGGTTAAATGAAGACATATAAATATATCTGATGTGTCTATTTCAATTTTTCTTAATAATTAAGGAAAAAAACTAGGGCCAAGTGAGGTATTTTCCAAATAAATCTGAACAAATTCAGTTCCTTATTAAAAATTGAGAGCACTGTTTTCCTTTAAAGTCTCACCATTAGAACAAATCACATAGGGATTTGTGTTTTTAAACTTAATTTTAAGAGTTACAATGTACCTGTAGACACAAAGCTCTGTGTTCAATCTCTGAAGCACATATTTTGAGTATAAATGGGATGCCATCTGATTCCTTTTTTGCAACTTGTGTGAATTCTGCTCCAAATAAGTGTATTTTCCCTGGAAGTTTCTGATGACCACAAATGATGACTAAATTTTCCAAACACTTTCGGTGACAAACAAGGAGACACTACAAGAAAATAACAGTTAAAACATGGTTCACTCACTTTAAAGCTGTGAACAACAGAGCAAACTAGGCAGAGTGGTAACATAACAAAAACAAGTTTAAAAGGTAGTGGTGTTTGAAATACACTCAATATCTGAATGAAATATAAAATTACAGAAAGTACACTATAGTTTAATTTCTTAAAAATATACCTGCAAGAGATCTCAATCAATAAAATTAGCAACAAAAAAGTATACAGAAAAGAGCATAAAGGAGCTAATGTAATTCCAGAAATGTCTTACCTCTTCACATTCAACACCTTGGAATACTACAATGCCTTCACAATCCCTACATTTTGTGGGGGACCTTAATTTTCGAAACTTGTGAGTGAGAGCTGCCTTTGACATCAATGTTTTCTTAAATGTTCCAAGGGAGTTGGGTCCTTGAAACAGAGATAAATTAGTATAAGAATTATAAAATGGCATAAAAATTATAACACACAATACTAAGTTTTAAAAAATCTTTAGACCTTGTAATAATTCATGCATTACAAAAAGCTGTTAATTTGAGTCTGTAACATCAAAATAAACATTCAATTTATAGATCTCTTCAAGGTAAACATTTATTAAATATTTGAGCAATGGGTAAAAATCATGACCAAACCAGTAAGATACTTCTAATATAGCATGGCATAATGTTTTCAGAATCAGTAATTCTACACTGTTATTAATATACTCTTTATAGCACCTGGAAGGGTATTATAGAGGTGGCATTACATTCTTAGAAAATGCCCCTATAAAAGCTTGAAAGAAAGAAAACTAGCTGTATGAAACCAGTTTGTCAGTATTATTTGCATTGAAGATAAAGCTACTCTTCTTTTTTTTTTTAATGTTTTTATTTATTTTTGAGACAGAGAGAGACAGAGCATGAGCAGGGGAGGGGCAGAGAGAGAGGGAGACACAGAATTCAAAGCAGGCTCCAGGCTCTGAGCTGTCAGCACAGAACCCAACGCAGGGCTGGAACTCATGGACTGCGAGATCATGACCTGAGCTGAAGTCGGACGCTTAACCGAATGGGCCACCCAGGCACCCCAAGCTACTTATTCTTAATTCATTATAAAATTACAGATAATACTAGCTAGTTCTGTATCAATACCCTACCAGAGGTCAGATGTTCCATATTATTTTAGTTAATGATGCCCAAAAAGGTATATCAAGTTTTCAAATGTGCAAAACTTATTTATATGAGTCTAATTCAAGTCATTAAGGTAACTGATATCTCTTGTATCTGTCAACCTCTATAACTTTCCTTGTCCTCAAGAATGTATTTACTTTTTCTGCCTAGCTTCTTCCACTATTTCTTTTAAAGAGACTTTTTCTGAGTTTCTCATGCATTGCAACCTTTTAACAGTTCGGTCACTGTATTTGTTTTATAAAAGATCAAAATAACTAGCCTATTTTGGCATCAAATACATTTTAGAGTTAGTTTTGTTGCTTATTCTTTTATTTTTATTTGTAACATTTCACTAGTACGTTATTAACCCATACTTTACATAATTTTGGAGGATATATTTAAGTCATTATAATGTCTCTTAACACACAGCAAAGTAATTCTTTATACTATTTTCCTAATATCATGCAGTGCTGCTGACTCAAAGGGTTTAGAGGGTACATGATTCACATTAAAGCAATACCAGCTTCTGAAGGGGAAGGTGGCTCTCTCTCATCTAAATCATCAGCAGAAGACATGGTTCCACTGGATGGAGTTCGTGGAAGTTTTCGATGAAAGTCTCCTAAAAGAAAATTGTGAATACAATCACCTGACCAATGTAGAATTTAAGAAATGGGTAATGACAATATTTTTGGAATAACACAATCATACTATTCTGCTCAAGAGAACAAACAGAAATAGAAAAAGCTGCTTCCATTCGCAGACTTTGGATATAGGGAATTATGATATTTATTACTAGGAACAACAGAAAATTCAACCAAACCTGACTTTTCCAAATAAATTTAAAATTGAGGAATCATACATTCCAGTAAGACGTTACTGCCAACTTCTGATAGTAAGTGTTAGACACTGTATGCTTTACAAGGGCAAGGAATACTGGCACAATGGTAAATTGTTATTAAATACTCGTTGAATTGAGTTACAAAGAAATGTATATAGTGTAACCTAAAGCTGTCTAAAACATACAAACATCTATGATTACAGCAACACAACAGTAAGATCACATTAATGTTGCCCAGGAAGATGGGAGAATGGGAAGCAGGAATAAAGATCCCTGGCAGGGAGGTAAGAACACAGGACACAAGCCACGTCAGCAAAGGACACTGTGCAGGTATCAGAGCAGCTGGACTAGGTAACGAGGATTATCTGCTCCCTGCTGATATTACAAAGAGGGCGATATCTAAGTGGAAGATTTCACTCACCTCAAGGCCTTAACGATCTTAGGGCTGAGAGATGACTTAAACCAACATCTTTCCCTCCAAAAGATTCCTTTCAAAATATGTTTAAGAGATACGTGGTCATCTAGTTTTTGTTTTGAATGTGTTCTTACCGACTGAGAAATCATGGGGTCACATGTTCTATTCAGAACGATTCCAACTGTAAAATGGTTTCCTTACATTTTTGAGCAGCAGTCTGCCCGCTTATGAAACCCAGCCTCTGGTCACACTTCTCCCTAAAGGAGCAGACAAGCCCTGTCCCTGTAATCTCTTCACACTCCAATATGTGAGGACAGCTGTCATGTCCCCAGGTTTCCTCATTCCCAGGTCAGGCATCCCTAGGTCTTTACCATTTATCTTGTGACTAGTTTACAAATTTTTGTCTTTATCACATGAAGTCTTATAGGATTCCAAATAATTTAGGGTGTGCCCTAGTTTGGGTCTTAATTTCTGGGGATAGCTACAACCATCTTGTGTTTACAAAGCTAATTAGAAATATCTAGTTAAGTATTTAGGCTCTTATCTCCGGGGTGCCGCCTGAATGGAGCTAGTTTTAAAGGAAGACACAAAGTAAGCCTACAAACCCCAATGCTGCATAGAAGTTATTTCTAAATTTAAACTCAAGAGATGTATTTATATGAATAAAATTTCTGTAATATGTAGAACACTATAAAAAATATCTTGGACTTTTGAGGTAGGCTAAATCTTATAATATATCTCCCACAGTGCCAAGGATCCTAGGAGAAGGGCCAGGAAGAATAGGACTAGAGCAGTCTTTGGTAAAAGAGTGGAGGAGAAAGAATGTCAAAGTAAGAATCTCATGGGTTTGAAGTAAAAATCTCATGGGTTCAAACGCCACCTTCTTTTCCTGTTAGCTGTATTACCTATGGCTTATCTTCGTTAAAGCCACTAAAGCAGAGTTCAGAATATCTATCCTGCCTCTCTAAGGAGCATGGAATTCTCTTTATCAAAGTACCTTTTAAGGTGCATTTATAAAAATTAAGTAACTATAGGCACAAAAAGTGGTGTTAACTATATTGTTCATCTTAGCAATTAACTACAAAGCAATCTAAAAAATACAGTTATGTTCACAGAATAGTATACTATAGAAGATATGGTATGAAATAAATACAGCTATTCACATCAACATGAATCTTAAAAAAAAAGATGAAAGAAGTCACACACAAAAAATAGTATATAATTCCATCTGTATAACATTCCAAAGAGGGAAAAGCTCAAGTAGATACAGGCACTAGCACATTTAAAATAGCTACAGAATTATTAACAAAATTCAGGATGATGGCTTATTCTGGTGGGCAACAGGGCAAGGTTTTCAAGGAGGTGTCCACAGGGCCCTTCTCATATACTGATAATATTTTATTTCTTATAGGCTGGGTGGTGAACACATGAGGATCTGTTTATTTTTCTTTAAACTGTGCGTGTATATATACACACTCCTCTAGGACACAGTTCCTTATAAAAATAGTGTAGTTAAAATATATCCCCCTAAAAGGAGTATTTCATTGAATTTTCTCTGCTAGACTTAAATACTTACGTACCTGGACTTATAGATTCAGAATCCAGAGATCTAGATTCACTGCTTCCACCAGTGCTCTCAGAGTCACTAAACATCCCAAATGTCCATGACCTTATAAAAGAAGGACCTTCAAGAAAAGAATATTTAAAGTCAAACTTGGCTACAGAAGGATTTCATCAGGCAAAATACTGACATTACAGAAATGAGACAAGTCAAATTCCTTTAGCAGTGATCAACCATTGACTTTAAGATAGTTGCAGTGTGGGATGCCTGGGTGGCTCAGTGGGTTAAGCATCCAACTTCATCTGAGGTGATGATGTCACAGTTCATGAGTTCGAGCCCTGGATCTGGCTCTCTGCTGTCAGTGCAGAACCCGCTTTGGATCCTCTGTCTCCCTCTCTCTCTGCTTCTCCCTCACTCACACACTCTCTCAAAAATAAAGATTAAAAAAAAAAAAAAAAAAAAAAAAAAAAAAAAAAAAAAAAAAGAGCCACAGTGCTTACAACTTTGACTAAGGTCTCACAGAGTTATAATTCAAGGCCTGATTTTTAAACTTCAGAGCTGCAACTCATTTAATAATCACATTTAAATAATTTGATCTTTCATAAATTAGAGCTCCCTTTAATGTTAAACGCTACCTGTTACATCAGCACTATTGGAGCATCTGTCCTCTTCAATCTTACTAGAGGGGTCAGCAAGGCGCACTACATCTTCTAACGAGTCGCTGGGTCCATATCCAGAAGTGTGAAGACTATTTGTTAACTGCTTATTTACATTCCTAAGAAAAACCCAAATAAAATTCATCATTTAGGAGAATAACTAATTAAGAGCGTATTTTATTCTATTTTCAGAAAAATCTGTTGATTTAATGAAGAGTAATTAAACTAAGTGAATATCAAGAATAAACATTATAAGGGTTCAGCTTCTTAAAGGAGATGCGAAAAAAATTTATTAATCACTTGAACTTGTTACAGCTGAAACATGGAAAAGAGGAGCAAAAGTATAGTTAATAATTCGTGTCATGGTTAAACGTTTCTAGTATAACCACTGCAGAAAATGGAGGTTGTTAAAAGTGTGGGCATTCAAAATTGACATGGTTTGCCACTCTCAGAGGATGTCTAAATCTCAAAGAACTGAGCCTTGTGTCAAACTGAAAAGCTTTAGTCTTACATGAGTTACATCGGGATATTAAAAAAATTCAGAAATTCTGCTGTTAGAAAAGACACCAACTTATACCAGATAGAAACTTATTTTATCTTTTGAAATAATTTCATCTATACATTAATTCTCACCCATCAACTTTTTCTTCTTCAGTTGAATTTGTGGCCTTGACAAACTCACTGTACTCCTGGCCTGGGTCATAGAGTTTGGCGCTATCACAGAGAGACTGTAAATTGCTTGCAAGGGAGGCTGCCTGTAGGTGTTGCATCTGGAAGAGGTTAACTGTTACCTATGGTCACAGAGACAAAAGGCAAAATAACTTATGCTATCCAGAATGCCTTGTAAATATACATTTATTTCAAGTGCCAGCACCAAGAAAAAGGCCACACTGGGAAGCATACAACACTGAACATCATCGTGAGCATATTATGTTGCCTGACTTTGGGCAAGGTCTAGAAAAAACAAACAAACAGATTTAATCCAACATCTAGAAGTAATCATTGCCGCAAAACTGTCTTTAAACTGCAAAGTTCAAATCTTTTTTGTCCCCCAGTCTGCTCCCTGAGTCAGGAACTTAAGTCCTTTTCTTCTGGATCCTCTATGGTAGCACAGTGTCCTAAATGCTTTGTAAAGGGGAAATGACCAAATGAACAGTAATAGAAAGTGTCATTAGCCAAAGTCATCCTGTAATTCTGCACATTTTCTGGTATTGCTCACTCAAACATATACGACTTCCAACTCCATGCCCAGCTTTCATCACCTACATCAAATTTTTAGTTATTCCAGGGTACATGGATTAGAGCAAATGTTTATGACAGCTATTCAACTAGAATTTACCTTAATTTCAAATAAGGGAAAAAGTTTCTCTCATATAAATTAGTAATAAATCTAAAATAAATTTAGTTCAGTGTAATTTTCTACCCTGTATCTTTTTAAAGATAAATTTTTCTTAAATGTACTTTAAAACAAAACAAAAAACAAAGCAAAACAAAACAAAACAATTCTTGTTCTAATTCTCTCTTCAAAGCCCATTGATTTGCTTAGGTCTTTAATGACTGACCTGGTCATTTCTCCTTCCTCTCAGTCATGTAATTATGGTCTTTATCCCATAACCTTCAACACTTCATAATTCAAGACAATTTTAGATATTCAGAAGTAATCCTTGATGTCCATGATATAACTTACAATTTTTCTGGGATATAATGTCATTTCTGTATCTTCTCTAAGATAGTGAGAGAACCTGTCTAGCATCTTTGTATCTCAAATAATTTGTCTTTTCTTGCAATCTCTAAAAAATGCGGTATGTCCTAGGGTGAAAATAAAATTTTTTAAAAAACAATTTGAGAGATGGTGTTGAAAAATAAGTCACCCAAGTTCCCAAGTTCTGCTTTTGATGGAGGAGAAGAGAACATAAAGAAATATGAGAAAGTCATGGTTCTTCCTAGAAAATAATATCTATATTCAAGAACTGAATGTTGGATTTGGTATATGTTTGGATCTGCATGTGAATAAATGCTAGTCAGAACAACTAAAATTGATCAACTAAATTGGTTCCAAAGAACTCTAGTCAATAAGAAATTTTTTCACAAATATATACACAGAACACCTTTATTATAACTGTCTCTATACATTACATGCTGTAGAGATTTTTGTAAGTTTGGGGATTTGTCCAAATTTGAGAGACTTTAACCTCAAAGTCTACTTCATACACTGATAGGTATTGCTCTCCAATTTTTCAGATGGGTTAATTCTCTCTTCCTAAATATATGCTACACTCTTTGAGAGCATATAACTGACTTAAATTTCTTTTATATACATAGTGGGCATTAATAAATACATACATGCTATATACAAAAATTAAGTAACCTCTTATTTACATCAAATTAAAGGAAATCATAATTGTTGGATCACCAAATAGCATTTTTTAAGAGGTATGTAGACAAATAAGATTATAGTTTGTGAAAGAGCTTAAAACCATGCTGTACAAAAAAAATCTGATTTGCGGGTGTTTAGTCTGAAAAAAAAAAAAAAAACATCCAGGAAAGGAAGATAACAATTATCTTTAAATATTTAAAGTGTTATTCTGTAGAAGAGGGAGTATATCACAGTATAGTATGACCTGAAAAGGCCACAAGAAAACATTTTTTTCACTCAGTAGAAACATTATATTAGTTTTGGAGCTGTCACACCCAGGCTAAATAATCATTCAGCAAGACAGCACGGTATTTAAGAGCACAGGTTCTGAAGTCATTCAACCAAGTTCTATCCTAGCTTTACAACTTACATGCTGGGTGACCTTGATCAAGTTATTTGTAACCTCTCTAAGCAAATGCTTCAAAAAAAAAAAGTTAATGTGCAAATGAATCATATGGGGGATTCTGTTCAAAATGCAGATTCAGATTCCGAAAGTCTGAACTGAAACCTAAAATTCTGCATTCCTCACAGGTTCCCAACGTCATGAGAATGGGACTGGACCAAGGACTGCATTTGGAGAAGAAAGGTTTTCTAAACTTTAGTTTCTTTCCCAGTGAGACGGAGCTAAAAAACAGTTATATTTACTTAATGGAATTGTGTGAGAATTAAATGAGTTAATGTAGGCCAGGAACTTAATACACTGGCAGGTGCATACTCAATTTTAGCTATCATTAGCTATTGTCTGAGGTGAAAAGGACTCTTCAAATGTAAAGGGTTGGCCTAAGTGACTCATAAGGTAATTTTGATTCCTGGGATTTTATAATTCTTTTACATCATTTTGTTAAAATTGACTCTATAAGTTAATCACATATTAATTGGAATTTGGTAAATGAATGAGATACAATTTTAAATACTCAGGAACATTTTATGGAGAGTTTCTGATTCAAATGGAATAGGCTCAATGCTCCCAGTCTCCCACCGAATTCTCAACTATCTGAAAATGCTGAAAAGTAAACAGTAGCAGGCAGATTGTAGAAAGGAACCACAGGTGTGCGTGGGTGGCTAGGTCGGTTGAGTGCCCAACTCCTGATTTCGACTCAGGTCGTGATCTCACAGTTGTGGGACTGAGCCCGGTATCTGGCTCTGTGCTGAGCATGGAGCCTGCTTGAGATTCTCATTCTCTCTCCATCACCCCCCACCCCCGCCTCTCTCCCTCGCTATCTCCCCCTTCTGCCCCTTTCCTGCTCACGTTATCTCTGTCTCTCTCAAAATAAAGAAATAAACATTAAGAGAAGAAAACTACTAACCAAGGTATGAGCAGTCCAGTGCTATGCTTCCTGTATTTCTTTTGCTACTTGTTTCCCAGCCAATACTGAACTCCTATTCAAAGACATGTGACTGAAAGAGTGGGGGGAAACCTTCTGGTTTCTTTTGTATGTTTGTTTTCTCTTGTCCCCCAGCCCCAAAGCAAGTTCCAAGCACAAAGACGCAGTGCTGTAGCAGTGGTGGCAGTAGCAGCTGAGCAGACATCTAAAACTTGGAGAGGAATTCTCTATGATCAGATAAACTGTGATCTGAAGAGGGAGGGGTCTGAAATACCTGTTGTTTTTTGTCTTTATCCTTTTCCTACTTGACCCTCACAGCAGCAGAGTAGGCCTACTAGGTTTCAGAGCTAGAAAACCTGGAAGGGATTCCTTAGGAGCTGTGAAGTGAACCTAACTAGGTAGATCAAATGCTTGCTGAAATTTTTTAACAATAAACATTCAGTATAGGTTATAAAGTCACATAAGGTAATACTGGAAAGTGCAGGATATTATCCAAAATTACTTGTTAGAAGAACCAGGAAATCTCAATTGACAAGAGAAAAGACAATAAACAGACACTAACCCTGAGATGACTCAGGTATTGGATTATTAGATAAAGACGTTAAAGCAACTATTATGACAGTTTAAGTACAGGCAAACAATCTTGAAATATGGTAAGACTGAAGTCTCAGCAGAGAAATGGAAGATATTAAAAAATAAAAATTTACTACTGAAAAATATAGTAATCCAAACAAAAAAATTTACTATTTTGCCTGTATAGGAAAATGGAGATAACAAAGGGAAGAGTCTGTGAACTCAATGACAGATCCAATAGAACAACAATCAAGATAAAAAAGAGGGGT